CCTCTGTATTCACAGATTATTTTCAACACCACAATTCTTGGGAATTAGTCTGGAATAAATAAGGTAAAGCAACATAAATTTGTTCCAGTGACAAAGAAAACAATATCAAAATGGCAATCTGGAGATCCGCCACGAATGAAGGAATATACAGTGTCCCTTCTGGTGAACTCTCCTGCAAATGCAATCACCGTCTCATTCACAAGTCTGGATTTATTTTAAAGTGAGTGAGAAAGAAAGCAAGAAACTAACAGTAAGAAACTTATTCAAAAGATCAATGTACAATCACTGTACTTACTCTTACATAGCATTAAGGTAAAGGCGTAGAACTGATATATATGTTGATTTTCTGAACCTCGAAGGAGCCTTTTTTCCCCACAATGGCAAACTTTCTAAATTGAAAAACATCTATCATTAATATATATTCAGGATCTCTCTCTGAGGTCTCAGCTACTACATTTTTTTCCAAATGCCTTGAAAATCACAAATTTACAAAGGCTTGGTTCGATACTTTTGTCAGCTAACTCTACCTTAAATTTTTCAGCTTGTATTTTTAGTATCATTTAATGAATACAAACCCTATCACTCAAATGTCAAAAGATTTCTGAATCATGGAGTAAAGAACAGACTTTGTTGCTAAACAGGTTAGGATTTGAACTGCATCAGTTAATTAAAAATAAAGACCAGTGTTTCATGCTTTTAATCTGAGCCAAACTTCACATAATAATAAAAACAGGCATTTTAAACATACAGAGCTTAACTAGATTTTCATCTAAATTTGGAAAATGAAGAGAATGAACATGCACCTAGATAATTTTTTTTACTTGAGATTTCCCACAGTATACTTGCCCAATCTACAGGACTATTGATCCAACCTGACATTTAGAGAATGCCAACTTTGTGCTTATCTGTCAGGGGCTGAATTTTTCTCTGTACTCTTCTTCCTCATTTGCCTGTTAATTAATTCAACAAATATTACTCAAAACCTATTGTGCGTCCAATGGCTGTTCCAGGTACTGAAGACACGGTTTGAGTAAGACAGGTGGGGTGCTATTCCCATGAAGTATATATTCTACCCTGGGAGGCAGGATTGGGAGACAACAACGAAACAGAAAGATCTCAGACGGTGATAACTCAGTTAAGAAAACACAGTAGAGTAGAATGCTCTGGTGCCCTGGAGGGTAACTTTAGATGGGTGAGGAGGTAACACGTACCCCCGATGGACGAGATGGCAGCAACCATGTGAAGGGCAAAAGGAACTGCAGGTACAAAGACCCTAAAATGAAAAAGAGCTTGGAGAATCCAAACAACAGGAAGACGACAATGAATTCAGGACACCATGAATTGGGGAGAGGTGTTTTGAGATGAGGCCTGACAGCGAGCGGAGGGCACATCCCTGCCAAGTACTCAGGTGGTCACTTTAAGGTTTGTCCTGAGGGGGCCTGGGTGGCACAGCCAGTTAAGCCTCAGACTCTTGGTTTTGGCTCAGGTTGAGATCTCAGGGTCGTAGAATCCAGCCCTGCAAAGGGCTCCGAGCTTGGCATGGGGTCTGCTTGGTATTCTCTCTCCCCCTCTCTCTCTCTCTCTCTCTGCCCCTCCCACTCATGCTCTCATGCTTGCTCTCTGTCTCTCGAATCAATCAATCAATCAATCTAAAAAAAAAAAAAAAAGATTTGTTCTGTCTTTGGAATCAGCCCAGAACCAGCTTGCGGAACAAATAGCAGTATTATCTCCGATATAGATACTCTTGGTACCACCGCATGTCTCCTTTCTCATGTGTCTGCACTGTCCTTCCCATGGTCATCTCTTGAGTATCTCCTGAGTGGCTCAGTGGCTATTAGATGCCCCCTCCCCTTCTTGCCCTTTTTCTCACCATTTGTCTTCCAGAGTCATACATCTGTTGTCTGGTCTCTGACCTGACACTTGCTCTGAGTCTCACTATTGGTTTAAGTTTAGAAGCTACATAACCTCAGTGTCTTTGACCTCAGGTATAATTTGACTGCTCCACCTACCACCTCTAGCTCCCTGATAATGCTTAATGACCTTCATTGTCTCCTTACCCCAGCAGACAATGATACAACCGCTATGGGCTACAGACATACTTTTTAAATCATGTGTTGCATTTTCAACTTTCAAAAACACTGCCATATCCTTTAATATTCTTGATTATGTCAACAGTCTCCATGAAGTAGAGACATAAGTATCATTACTTCATTTTATTTATTTTTAAGATTTTATTTATTTGAGAGAGAGGGAGGGAGAGAGAGGGAGAAAGCACAAGTGGTGGGGGGAGGGAGCTGCAGGCAGAGGGAGAAGCAGATCCCGCTGAACAGGGAGCCCCATGTGGAGCTCGATCCCAGGACCCTGTGAGATCATGACCTGAGCCCAGGCTCCCCAAGTTCATTTTAAAGACAGGAAATCAAACTCAAATAGTTTAGGTAACTTTCCTAAGGTAAGCTTACAATAGGGACTGAGAACTCAGGAATCTTGTTTTCCCATCTCCGTCCTGTTCTGGGGGTGAGAGAGGTCTGGCTCACTCCAGGCTTGGGTCTTTAGAAAGTAATTCCATAGATGGTCTGCTTATGATATGAAATTTGAAGACCATGCACAAAAGCATTTAGAAGATGAATAGAAAGGATTCCCTTCTCCTCAACTTTTTTCATGTATGTATATTTGAGTTCAGTATTGTTTCTAACATTATGTCCTGAGACAACATTTGCATCCCCATATGTACGCTTGACCACAGTGCAGGGATAGAGTATTATAAACATATTTACCAATTAAAGAAAGAAAAAGAGAACAAGTTTAATTGCTGAGTTTGAGAAAAAGAACTGAGCATATTCAGCTGAACGGCTCTAGGTTTTCTTCTTTGGCTCTGCCCACCTCCCGAAATCACAACAGTACATAAGAAATATCACTTTGTGAATGTAGGGTAACATCCATAACTCTCATTCTAAAGCTCGATGTTCTATGTTCTCACTGTCAAATGTATTTTTTTAAATAGTCATGTTGTCAAAAACTCAATGCACTACTTAAAAAAAAAATTCAGCATTTTCAAGTAAGTTCCAACAAGAGTCTCTTAGAAAAAATAAACAATTTCCTTACTTGTTCAATTAATCAAGTCACATAAATTACATTCTTAAAATAAATGGGAAAGTACTAAAAAATAATTAAAACTCTCAAGTGTCCCTCATCCTTCTAAGGTAGATCAGTTATGTTCATTGCAGCTTGTAGTATATAGTAGTTCGGAGTGGAATACTTTTCATACCATTCTTAAAAGTTCCAAGGTTCTTATTAAGGTGATAGTCTAGCTGTTTCTATTCAATATTCATGACCCTTCTCCAAGAGAAGTGTTTTGAACTGTTACTTCTGGCTAAATTTGTGGGAGTTCTTTTCTCCCACTCACTCTTGCACGTGCTCTCTCAGGGAAAAAGACTTTAATAGGCATAGTCCTATGTGAAATGATTAAAGTTTTTACACAAACACAACATGCAATTTTGTAAAAACACAAATTCACCTCCAAGTGAATATTATACACAGCAAATGCAGAAAGGTTTGAAGGATGTGTTGCCCCTAAAGTACCATTAAGTGGATTAGAAGCAGCAATTCACAGCTGAGAAAAACTTAGTAATATAGAATACAGTTAATCTGCATCAACTCAAACTTTTACAAATAGCAGGAAAAAACTGACTTATCATTACTAGTTTGTTTCCAGATACACACATAACATTGTGTAAACATTACATAACCATAGATGCAACAGGAGACCTGGTCTCTCCTCTACCACCCCACCTCCCATCTCCCAGGCAACTTTGGGAGAGGATAGGGGCAGCTCTGGGGGATTTGTGCACGAATCCAGTGCGTTCTCAACTAGTGCCTGCCAGGTGGTAAGCTTGCTGGGAAAGCTAGATTGTTCAGCTAGATTGTTCAGCTTTGTCCATGACGGGTAGGAGAGCTTTGCTCAGGGGTGAGATATTAGGAATACCATTGTGACCACATATTTAAACGACAGGTTTTACCCTCAATAAAGCTGTCTTTTTTTTTTTCTTAACCTCCATTTGGGAAATTACGGGAAACACTGCCTATCTCCCCCTCTTGATACTTTCTCATAGGCACCCAGATTTGTCAAGGATGATTTGACGGTTATATTATGTCACTGTCGTTACTGTCTCTTAGGAAAAAATGGTATTTAATATTTGTATGAAAAAGACATGGAAATACATTCTATATCATAAAGATTATATAGAAAATATTTCTTGTACTGAACTATAAGCAAACAAATGATACTTGAAAAAAGTTGCACACATATTTATCTTACATGAAAATGTCATACTAGATGGAGAAATCCAATTTTTAAAGATTACACCTTATGGTTTTGAGTCAAGACTTTAAAGTATTTTAAAATCCATGTTAACTGATCCAAAATATAAAGGAAATATTTATACTTTAGTGCAAAATAAATTACATGTGTAGGTTCCCAGCTAAAATCACATTACCATTTTATTAGATTGTCCTGGTGTGCGTGTGTGTGTGTGTGTGTGTGTGTGCAAAATAATATGTAACAAACTATAGCAATAAAGTGCCAAAATAACTGGCTTCAAAGCAAAAAATTCGATCACAACAGTTTTACTTACATGTTTCCCTGATTAGACTGGTTGATTTGGCTTGGCATTTTGTATGCATTCATTAAATTATTATAAACAAATACAAAGTATTATAATGACATTCAAGTTGATAAATTTTGGTGTGTACAATGCAAAACTATTATACACAAAAAGTCAAACATATTTAAAATTCAGACTAAAACCAACTAATTTCATCTCAGAAAAAATTTTTACTGCCTTTTGTAAATACTTACTATGGAAAAACAGCATTTACAAAGTATACTTGGTATACTTTCACATAGATCTCTCTATATATATCTAATATGTAAAGGATATATATATATATACACACATACCCTTTTCCCCCAGCCAGATCCCCCAAATCACAAATCTCATTACCTGTTTTTGAGCAGTACGCTGAAGGTCATCTTATCCAGTCCCAGATAATCTGGCAGCAAGTTTGACCAATTCCAGTTCCATTTTGTGATGGCTGACTGTTGATAAATGAGAACACGCTATTGTTAGTTATTAATCAGAGTTAATATGATCAGTAAATTAAAGCTCCAGCTGTGATAGACTAACTAAGAAGGAGGGGGGTCCAGAACAAGGACTTAGACAGATAACATCAATCATGTCCACAGAAGAAGGTTTTTACTCCAATAAGACAGCAATTAATTTATAAATCCATTTGGGGATGTAGTCATTATTTATAAAAATATAAATCAATTTCTTGAGTCGTTATTCTTCCCAAGTGCTAATGGCATTTGCCCAACAAGTTTCCCTGAGAGGGTGACTTTTTGAAAAGAAAAGTGAAATCACTGGCAACTTTTTCATCTATCAATTGATAGTTTATATTTTTTAGCACCCAGAAATTTGACTAAAAAAAAAAAGACTTAGAAGTGCTATGACTCAAATTACAAGACACAGCTTAATTAGAGTGTGAAGATAATGTTATTTTTGGTTAAGAAAATGCTTTAAAGGGGAAATCAGAACAACCTGTAAATATAAACATTCCTTTTTCTCATTTAATAGGTAATTTCACAACAGAGTAAGGAGAAGAATTGCTGTGAAAGATAATCTCATAATTCAGAATGGAATAAAACATACCATTTATTTAAATGAAGTGAGGATAATTTAACAGCTACAACGATTATTTATGGTTTGGAGCAATCTAATGTACAACATAGAAAAGCAGACAATACACTCAAACTTACACAATATATTTGGTTTTCAAATTCCTTAAAACTAAACAATTTTGATAATAAGAGTCCAGGCCGATGTTTAAAATCCTCTAAGAACTATGCCCTGTCACCTGCTGATTAATGGAGCACCACAATCCTGTCATAGAGCAGGAGAATTCTGCCCCGGGTTGTCAGCACTTGAAGGTCTTATTCTACTACGGTATTGATGAATGTAGACTAGGGTTGTAACAGGCATGGCAAAAATATCATCTGCATCCCGAATTAGGCCATTGTTTAATTCTTGTTTTCCTCAGAGCTCTAGGTCAAGCAATCCTTCTCCTTTGCCCTGTTAGTTCAAAGAGTCTGTGAGGAGGCTTTTCCCTTTTTTATTCACCAAAAGAACAACCAAAGCAAAAGCAACTTTAGGTTTCAAATACTTTGGCTTAAATATGACCTTTTTAATATAATGACTGAAGCAGGTAGCTTAAACAGTGGCATAATCTGACATTAAAAACGTGTGGAATTTATTACATTACCTTTATTCCAAATATCTGGACTTTAAGATCATTTGCAAATTCATTTGAAATGCAGGAATATGTTTAGGGTTATAAAAAGGGAAATTTACCTCATGCCACCTAAAATAGCAAGTCAAGGCTTTATTTATAATTAGTTGTAAACTCTTTTATTATTTCCCTGATAACGTAGATAAATTCATAAAAATTGCAAGGTGTTCTTTGAGTGGGTGGATTGGGGATGGCGGTGGGCAGCAAGGGAGAAGACCATTATGAAATGCCTGGTTTTTTAGACCTTCTGTAGACACAGCCAAACAGATGTTCCCTCTGCCCATGGCGAACTGACCTGGTCAAAAGTTAAGTTATACAGACCAAACATATGAATCAGTTTGACAAATAGAAAGAAGGTAAAATAACTTTTCCAAAGTCAATTCATGCAGACCACATAAGTAAGAACAAGGCCTTTTGCTTTCCAGCCAAAAAAAGAAAAAAAAAAGGAAAAGAAAAGCTTATAAGTATTCAAACACAAAGCACCTTTTTCCTTTATTTATGTAAAAAAAAAATCACACATTTAAGTTAACTTTACTATTTTCCACATACCTGATCTAGCATGTTTTCACTAAACGCCTTGTACACCTGGAAAGGGTTAAAGGCAGAAGGCTGATCTTCCACACTCCTCAAGGTCGTCTTTAAAGGTCTGATGGGTAATGGCTTTTCCTCTGAACCATTCATAGAAAACAGCTGTTCTTTTAAATATTCCTTCAAGGGGAAAAAAAAATTACAAGTCGTGATGGTGGGAAGCATATATTCTCTTTAAAAATACACTGATCAATATCCAAATCTACCCTTTCAGCACATTTGCTAGATTACAGTGTATTACTTGCCTCAGGACAGAATACATTTTCAGAAGAAACATAGCAGAATACCAATCAGCATTGCAATAAACCCATCAAAAACAGGTTCACCTAATATATAGGATAGATTAGAAAACCATTTAACAAATTCTCACATAATGAATGTATGCTTGATATATCAGAATCTTTTAAATAGGCATTGTCTTGTCATTGGTTCATGTGTTAACATGTCTGGTTACCAAAACTTAACTCAGATGCATGATTCCTCACAGTACAAGATTGCTCATTCATTCACTAAGTGCAGTTGTTATCTACTCTATGCTCAGCAGAGTGCTAAGTACTCTGATATTTCACTGCAAGCAATCTTCCTTTATGTAGAATTAATTATAATCCAAACTCCTAAACTCTATTTCCATACCTTGGACTGAAAAATATCAAGGTTCAAATGAAGCTCAACATACGTAATTCTAATCCCCCAACTGCCCATGGCAGCCTGGGCAAAAAAGTCAATCTACTGCTTTATATTTCATTTTCCATTCATAAATAAGGTGAATGATCTTAATCTATTTTATTGGACTCTTTCTGGAAGACAATTAAAATGACGTCAAGGTTCCCATGTAAACCATCAAATACTTACTATTAATAAGTCATTTAAGAAATAAAATATAAAAGTTCTCCAGTATGTCAAAATATAATTTTTTCTTCAAGAGTAGGACTAGGTTGAGAACACTAGAGCTGAAAAGGACTTCAGAGGTCATCTGGAAAACCCTTGCTACTCAAAGTCTGGCGCCAAGACCAGCCCAGTCAGCCTGGGAACTTGTTAGAAAAACAGAATCTCGGGCCCCACCCCAAAGGGACTCTAACTACTAACATGATTTCCCAGGAGATTGGCAGGCACTTGAAAGTTTTTGAATAACTCTAGCCCACACTACATTCAGCGGTTGGCTCTGAAAAGTCACGGATGAACCTGAAGTTACACAGGAGTGAGTGGTAGAGTCTAAGTGAGAAGCCACGTCTTTGGTCTCAGGTCATTGTGCTTTTTCCTGTGTCTCTATAATATAACTTCCTGAACAGAGAACGCCTACCGTACTCATCCAGGAAGGTAAATTTTAGATCCTAAAATCCTAAACACCAGAAGCAACTGCTACTTTAACTATGATAATCATTTCTTAAATTTGCTCATTGTGGACATCTCCTTAGATGAATTCTGTAGCATCATTTACGCACAGACTCCTAAGTATCGTTAGATAATAAAACCACCAGAAAAGAATGTTATGCCTAGATTTAGATTTAGATTTTTATACAGAAATAAAATTTCTCTCCATCATGATTTCTGAATGTAAAATTTTGAAAAGGAATAAAAGATTCTAACAAGAACAACTGCTTTGTTGGCTAATAACCATCTGTTTCAACTGATTTCCCCTTACATTGCTACATTTGGCTTGTTGTCCTTGTTCCACAATTCAAAAGAGATCAAGTGCTGTGCTGCAAGCTGGGAACACAATGGTGTTTTCTCCTTTGTTAATTTCTCTAACCTGTCCACTATCTTCTCACTATTGTCACTTGTCACCACCCCTTCTCAAAAACCTGATTTTTTGTGGTGTTGCTTTAACCGGACTTATTGCTAATGTGATGTATTTCTCTAGAAAAGATACATTCTTCTTTGAACATCCTTTCTTGAACACCCTCCCTGCGCAGTTACATACGTATTTCTCTACCTACTGTTTCTGTTTTTCTCTCCTGAAGAGTCCCGTGACCTCAACTACCACACTCAGTGAGGCCACCAAAATCTCTTGTCATGGCCTCCTTCACCTTTGTTCGTGGCCACGTTCTTCCACTACCCACTGGACTTTTATGCTCCGACATCCTTCCTTTATCGCAAAGACGAACACTCTTAAACTCATTTCCTCTCAGAACTTTGTTATGACTCGATGGCACACTCATTCTTCCCCTCGCCCAGGCCCGTACCTGTAAATGTCACTGTATTTATGCTCCCTTTTTGAAGCATAGTCAGCAGTACACCTGAAAATGCTCAAGACTCATAGTGCTACTCAGCAGGTGAACAAACTTCACAGTGCAATTACACCTACAGCTTAACGACGCCTCCACATAAAAGCCGCCATAGGACAACGCTGGGCACTGAGTCAGCTGTGTGCCGTTACCGAGTTTGTTGCGGGTTTAAATGTTTTAGTAGTCACGAGTCAAAGGGCTCACTACTTTCTCTGGGCTAGCCTCACCTCCCAGTACGCCTCTTCATACCTTGCCGCGATGCTTCTCAGCACAATCAGCAAGGACTTAGCTTGACATCCCATGTGATAAACATTGCCGTAACAGTAAGCATATTCAGTTGTAAGGAAAGGAAAAATCCTAACTTGGAACTTCATTGATCAAACTGTAGCAGTGCCCCAGTGAAGAGTCTTACACACATCAGGAGTCGCAGCAGACCTGTTCAGAGCCGCGGCCTCAGAGGCCACAAATTCTACGACGGGAGAACTGCCTTTCGATTTCCTGAATAGAATAGGTGGCTGACAGCCAGTAAATACTCAACTTAATTTTGCTTCTTGGTGATTACTGATCTTTTTCATGTTAAGGGCTTTTTGAAAAGTGGACTGGTCTATCAGTTTGGCAATCTCTACCAGCCATTCCTGTTCTCAGAACTCTTATAACGCCACTTTCCTAAAAATCTGAGGGTAAGCCTCCTGCAACATCTGTTCCTCAGTAATCACCATGGTTACTTAGGCCCATCTGGGTGGCCATGTGGCCATGCCAATGAAGACCACGACTTCGCAATGGTGGTCTTGCAGTTAGCCAAGGCCACGAGCTCCTGAGTTCCCCACACAGAAACCCTAAACAAATGATGAGGGATCATTAGCAAATGGGAATAAGTTGTGTAATTTGCTAACAATTATATACTGAGCTCTGGTGCCTCGGGACTGGACCATTTCTCACAGCCACAAATCCTTCACATTCTTTTCAGGCCATCCTTGAATGCACTATTACATCGCCTGCTTATTGACTGGTTGATTAGCTCTAGGAAAGCCAGGAAACAAAATTTACCTGAAGTAACTTTCAGGTAGATGGTAGCGAAAGAACATTTATGTAACTGGGTTGTAAAATGCTGTGGTAGAATTTAATTCACTCCTCGGAAATTTATCGTTTTTAAGGCCTACCTCATTGAGATAGAACACTATAGCTTCCCATTATTCATATTATAGAATTTTTAGTATTCCGAAAAATACATTAATACATTTGCACAGAAACACATAATTCTAATTCACGTTAGATGTCACGTTCTAATTCAGGTACAAATGTTCAAATTAAAAACCTGATGAAGTTAGCCCATTTGTATTGTTCCAAGTCCATAGCTGAGATACCTGCTCTTTACATTTTTGCTCAAACAGCCAGAAACATGCAAGGTCAGAGGCTTAACCCAGCAGAGACGTAGACAAGCATGACATCGGCTCTAACCAGTGTCCATGCATTAATGCATTTTCTTGGGTTAATCTAGCTGCTCCCTAATATGGTTCAATATTCTTCTCGAGTTTTCTCATTATGGAAGAAATCTACAACTTCACCAGACAAGTATGACGTCTATAGGAGAAGAAGTACATCTCTCTCCAGAAAATTCATCATTTCACAAACAGCAGATTTTAACATCAGCTTAACAGTCACAAACACACAATTCCCAAACTACACGTCTAGTCTATACAATTCAGAACTGAACAGAGTTTATGAGCCGTGTTATTGTTTAAACCATATAAATAAAACCTACATTGTTTCGGTGAAGCTTCTGCTATACAAATGCAGAACAGCCGGGGCTGAATAGATTCTATTAATAATGCAATATTGAGTTTGGTATTGACTTTAAGAAGTATTATCACCTCCTTGACTAACCCTTAGCTGCCAGCAGACGCTGCCTCAGGCCAGTACACACCTAATTGCTCGGTAAAAAGGCCGTTTCCCTACCTCATTGAGCCGCATGATGTGATAAATTTGCCGCAGGTACTCGCCGCCACCTGGTTTGTGGCAGATATCCAGGACCATCATGTTTATTTTCTGCTCAGTCAGTTCAAGAGCACTATCTCCTTCTTCTAAGGCTGTGCTTTTCTCTATTGTCATAAATGCACTAAGTACAAAGAAAGCATATAAGTATCAGTGGTGAAGAATTGTAAAGATGGAAAATAATCCAAGAGATTGAGTGTGGAGAGTCGATGTAAATCTCATATTCAAAGCACCATAAAGACCGCTCAAGTAGGTAAGCTTTCCCAAACCGCCCCTGCCCATAGAAACAGCACCTCAGAACTAAGCACCTGAGAGCATTTAAAAAAAATTGAATCGTTTCTTTAAAACAGTTCTTTATTGCATTTGTACTCCTATCTATAAAACATTTTCCCATTACTGCAATTGTTGAAATTGCTACAATCATGGGATGAAAACAAAACATTTCTTTTTAAGAACATGTAAGAAATAATTTGTATTTTCTCTTTGAGGATAAAAAGTATCTTTGACGCCAGAAATAGCTTTGGTATTCTGTCTTTTGTAGATTCCTCTTTACACCTGTCTTAGAACACATTAAAGACTAATTACAGTGTCAAAAGGGGCAGCCTATTATGCTAAATATAGGCTGGGCGCTTCCTGACAGCGTGCTTACCACTGGGTTTTTTTAAATTGGCCTTTTGACACTTGTTGCCTTCTAAAAATATATGGCCCCTGTCCTGTTTCTTCTTGGTAAGGATACCGAGCAAAAGTCACTACCCTGATTATTCTTCCAGGAAAAGGGTTATCATCATCACACCGGAATATGCAACTTTTATTTGTGAAACATTTCTAAGAACACATTCACTTGTTATTGATTTTAAACATTATTCACATAGTAACAATGAATGACATAAATTAAAAAAAAATTCTCCAACTATACCAGTGCAAAAGAGATCATGGTATTCAACTTACATCATATATATCCCACACCACTTTTCTTCTTACAGTTGCTATTAGGATCATGTTGGGCTTTGCAATCTAAGTATGCTTAAGAAAATGCATGGTTTTCCACTGTTCCTCAGACTAAATGAAATTTACTGTGGTATAATCAGCTGTATACTGCAGTTCATTACTGAGATTTTGCCATGATTATAAAATTAGTTCTGCTAAGAGTCAGTGCCGCTGACCTGAAGACTGAACCAAATGATACCCAGCTGCTGGACATTAACTTTTATATTGCTTCCACATGTAGCTTCTCTTAAAAAAAGAACTTTACAATTGTATAAAGCTTGCTAAAAATAAAGCGAATCCTACTCTTAGACATATTCATTAGCTAGCGTAAATCTTTAAACAAACAAAAAAGACCTTGTTGCAATAAAAGAAGTTTGTAAATATCTTTTTGAAGCTGCATATAGGTTGCAAGCAAAATTTCTTGTCAGGTTGTATAGACGCTGACATTGAAAAAGTTGAGGCCCTCTGACAAAAGAGTGTCTCAGTGTCAGCCCCTGAATTGTATCCTTTCCTGTCCATCACTATGCAGGTGAAGCAAATGATTGGATTCAGTCAATGCCATGATTAATGAGTTCCTCTCTGGATTTGGGACTGCCTATCAATCATGTCATTAGGGAGAATGTGCCCTGAAAGAGGCAGACCTTAGCCAAGGAATAACTGCATTAATCTTAATCTGTATATGCACCCAGCCAGCCAAGTCAGGGTCACCATGATGAAAAACAATAATCTTCAACTCGACAAATTACTTTGCAAAGACAGACATTTCTTTACTTTTGGGGCTGTGTGTTCTCCAGAATCTAAGCTGACTGTTTACAGTTTGAGTGTTACTACAAAGTGAAGGTTATTTTAATGAATAGTAATGCTTTCAGGCAGTATGCAAGACAAGCAAGGCTTACAGCTGCCTGCCACCTTTCCACTGCAGGTCTTTTCACAATTTCCATAAAATCAAAGTTAAATCTGAATGCGAGTGAAGCAAATCTACCTAAATGATATTGTGCAGTTCCAAGATAATCGTCATGGGGAATTAAAATTTCAATTATCTTAAGAGAAGAACTATTTCAGTTTAAATGGTTACATTCCCAAACTTAAAACAATTATGGTAAAAGCCAAGGCAGCCCTTCACCTATATAGTTACCAGGGTTTAATATATGTTTTCCTTACAGTACAGATCTAGAAACTAAATGATCATCGATTTGTGAGAAATATGTAGAGGTAGAAGTTCACTTGTATAACAATCAACCTGAAATCAGAGTCAAGAAGTACATTCCTATAGTGCCCATTAAATCCTTTAAGAGGTGACGTAACGTGAGTTAATAAGTTTAACCATTTCAAATAAATATAAGAAATAACTTTAAGTCCGAACTTTTATATATTGATATTTGAGAAACTGAGAAAGACATAGCATTGTGCTAATTACATACTTACTACTACACATTCAGTAACTTTAAGGACTGTACAACATTTTTTAAAGATCAGCAAGTTTCATTTTGGATGCATGTTGCAACAGATAGCTAATCAGTCAAATATTAGCTAGAAAACTCCCTACATAGGAGGTATCAGATGTGTTGGTGCTGTTTATAAGGAATTTAAACGAACTTTAAAGGAAAAATTTTATTAATGGATTCCTGTAGGTGGCCCCAGGTATATAGCTGAGACATTACTTCACACTGATCTTATTGATAGAGGGACCCCTAAATCAAAAGTATCATAAATTTAACTTTATCATCAGATCCACTATTTTTATTCTTTTTTTCTTCCTCTCTCTTTATAATCACTGTCGTGGATATGACATTTGGCCTTAATCTTTTAGTCACTGGATTCAATACCTGTAAATTGGTACTGAATGCAAATGTAAAGATTAAGAAGCCTGCTTTTAGAGTCTCTAAGTATTTGCCTGACTGCTGCCGTTATTCCTACCCACAGGACACCCCAGAAATAAATTTCTAGAAGTCAGTATGACAAGACCAGGAAAATCACAATTACCTACATTTTTCCATTTGGATTAACATGAAGTCTTACAGATTAATACAAACCAGTAAAGAGTATTCATTATCATGATACCAGTGAGTGCATTTTAACAGAGTTTATGAATAACAAATGCTTACTAGTTCTAAGCTTGATGCTAAAAACTTTATGAATGTTATTTAGTTTTTCAAAACCACTCCCACCAGCTTGGTATCACCACTGAAAGTGAGGCTTTGAGAGAGTCCATAATTTGCCTAAGATGGCCCACTTACAAGGGATTTGTATTTGCCCATCTGATTCCAAAGCCTGAGCTCTTTGTCACTACCATGGACTAAGGAAAGTAACAATTCTTAGTCGTTTCAGGCAGAGAGTTAAAATAGTATCTGCTAGCAACATGAGTAGATTTTAAAAGAATGGGGGACAGTGTGTCAGTGGTCTAAGGAAGGGCTGGTTAGTGATCTATAGGCCATATGAACTGTAATTCCTTTATCAATATCATGCAGTTCTTAACTGAAGACTAATTTTAAGACAGGAGTACTCTATGTACATATTTAAATTCATCAGGGACCCTTAAAAATCTTAGCGATACCACAAATCACTTAGCTCTTGGTGACAAACCAATGAGAAGGCTGACATTTTCATACGGAAACAGCTGGGTGTGTTTATAGCTCGAGTGTGATATGCCCCAGTTGCCCTCTGGGATTCTTACATTACCAGATGAAAAATGTGTACCTTTTTGACAATCAGGTACACAGAAAGCAATAAAAAGCCTTTTATATCCATTAATTCCTTCTTAATTTAATCTCCATGCCCAATCCATTTACAAAATGCTCCAGGCTATCCACTGGATACCTGTTTGTGCACTGAAAAGGAATGAAACCAAATTCTCTCAGGTTTAACTACCACTACCACCCTTTTTATCAGAAACCTTAAGATGGTGACTAAACAGGTATAATGTTCCAGCGTGTCGATGGGATTCAAATTTTAATAAAACAGGGAACGTCTGATAATCCCGTTTTTAATGGACTATTTATCTTTTTCTGTATTCATCAAAGTTCCCATGAAGTTAAAGAAAATAACCACTGTTGCCTATCTCAGTCTTTTGTTGTTGTTTATTGTTGATTTTGTTATTGTGAACGTATTTGATGAAATTCAGTGAAAGAAAAACATCGCTTTACCATTTGGTGCTCAAATTCCTTGCTTTCAACAACTGGCTCTCAATCCAGTTGGGTTTTTCCTGCTCAATGCTCTGTATGACCTTCTGGGTCATTTGATTAGGGCCACTTGTCTGCTTTCCCATGATGCTTTCCAAACACACACAGATTAAACCAAGTTTCTCTTTACTCCATCTGTCAAGGGAGGCACCTGTTAAAAGTTCCACAGTGTTTCCATCCTCAAATATCCGACATATAATTACAATCAAGTTCCAGACAAGGAGGCTAGCTTTCTTCAATTCAACAAAGTTTTTTGACATTTTTCTCTCAGACAGAAAAAAGAAGTATTTAATTGGGGGAGGCAAACATGCAATCACCGTAGGTAACTTGCTGATTACAATAGATACTGCCTGAGCAGCAAGCCTTGTGAAGCCTGGGGAAGAAAGGAAAGAAAAGGTATGATTAATATTAGCATTTGCATTCCATTACTGTGTTGTTTTGAGTGTTGCGTGGGGATGTCTAATTTTTGTGGAGAAAATTGTCGAGAAGAGCAAGTGCCTGACATATTCCGACAGAACTTCACTGGGGTCCCCTCCAGTGCTGCCTAAAATTCCCCAAATCTCAAACTCATTTTTTTTTCTTTTCTCATGAATGAAGATTAGAAAATTTAAAATTATTAATTATACTTTTATCTATTAGGACTGCAGGTTTAAAGGGCTCAGATGCCCTCTTAATTAACAAATGTAAAGGCACTCCTGTTGGACCTCTCTGTGGCCTTTGATACTTTCTTAAACCTCCTCCTCCCTTGGAATCCATAACAGAATCATTCCAGATCTTGCTGGGACTGGCTCCCCTTCTTCTACTTCTTAGCCCAAATGTCACCTCCTCAGATAGCCTTCACTCACCACCCCATCCAAAGCATCCCTTCATTCTCTTCCCATCCCAAGTCCCACTTCCTCTCTATCATCAGAGGCTATTTTGTCACCTAATAATTATCTTCCTAATTGTTAATTATCTGTCACCCTCCACTAGAACATAAGCTCCATGAAGACACTACTGTATCCCCAACACTGAGTACTTCATATATCAGCTGTTCAATAAAGATTTGGTGAATGAATGAGCCAACAAACTGTGTCCCATGCTAGTTCTAGTTTATACCAACACCTCTTAAATGTAGGTATTGTTAAGAAGTCCTTGCCTATTGAATGATGATTCTACACACTCTCCCTTGCTTGGGGTCCTTTATCTGAAGGATGTACTGATCCTCCCTCTCTAGATCAGGGTGCCTCAACTTTGGCATTAATGACATTTGGGCTGGATAATTCTTTGTTGGGAGGAGCTGTCCTGTGCACTACAAGATGTTTCAGCAGCATCTGTAGCCTACACCCACTAGATCCCAAGTAACGTTCTCCTCACTGTGACAACCAAGAATGTCTCCAAGCATTGCCAAATGTCCCCTAGGGGGCAAAACCTTTCCTGGTGGAGAACCACTCTTCTAGATGATTCTCAGAATCTTCAGTCTTGGCCTTTCTCCAGGGTAGCAATCCTACAACTACAGCTCCCTGTTGGACATTTCACTTCTCTGTGCTAGTAATGATTAACTCATTATAATTAAAACCAAATTAATTGTTTTCCTTCCAAACTTGCTTGGCCTTGCTCACTCTCCCTCCCTCCTCCCTCCATCCCTTCCATTCTTCCTTCTTTTAAAATCTTTTAAGTAATCCTGTTCATCTTTCATTCCAGAAACCACACTGATAAATCCTCCTACCCCCTCATCTCTGACATCCAGTTTCACCTCACTGGGAAACATGGCTACCCACCTATTAAAGCCCCTCCTTACAAATGGTACCTGGACTACGGCAGTACTCTCATAACCCATCTCCCTGCTCCAGACTATGCTCAGCCTCTCACCTGTGTCGTGAAGCCAAATTCACATACTATAAAATCTGTTATCTAATTTCTCAGCCACAGTTTGAGCTGCTCCCACTGTTATGAGATCAGTCTCTGGAGTGTTGCTGTCAAAATACTCCACAGTCCAGCCTCAGACAGTTTCTGTAAACCTTCTCTTTATTTGTATCCTCATTGCTTTTAGGCTTCTGAATATCTCATTACTCTCACATGGAACGCCCTCTCTCTCCATGGTCACCCATCTTTTTCAACTCTTGGTTCAAAGTCCTGTCCTCCTGTGAATTTTATTTGAACATACTATCTATATGACCAGTTTGGTAATTAGGTCTGTAATGTGCATGCTGTCATCTTTTGTATTATCATCTATTATTGCTTATGATATTTATGTCTTCATGAGTTATCTTTACAACTAGATGAAAAGCTCCTCAAGAGCATGGGAAAAAACCTTATCAGTCCTTGACTATCCCACAAAGCCAGGTATGGTGTTTTAATCCACTACATACATAATAGAATTTGAAAATTGAAACTGAGTGACAAGTCAAAAGAAGGTAGCTTTGAGTTCTTCAGTAAAACATTCTTTACTGCTTTTGCTAAACACAAATAATAAAACAATGTGAAAGATTTTTCAAGATATTTGTGACATTTAAAGAAGTCACTCTGCTCTAAAAAAGTACAAAGCTCTTGGAAAACATATGTCTAGTCTAGTGACTCCACAGAAATTCATGACAACTTAAGAATTGTGTTAAAAATGAACTGGAACACTCTTCATAAGTTTGTAAAATTGGGCCCAACATATATTTGAAAGATCTCATAAGACTATTGTGTTCAATAAAATAATAAATGTGAGAACACCTAGTTCAGTACTTGGTAATGAATAGTTCCATGATAAGTGCTTTCTTTTTATCCAAATGAGTATGCTTAGATGAAGCTTGAAATACAGATAAAGCAAACTGAGAAACTCCTTTGTGACCACTCTTCCCTGTGTTCTCAAATGATTTTAAATGTTTGTTGTTCTTTACGTGTTTGTGTCAAATATTCCCTATTCTAACCTCAGGTGTTTGAATTAAAAGATTCTATCTTGTGTTCTGCTTATTTAAAAGAGGGTTTAACTGCAGATACCAAGGAAACATTTGACAATCTAAGGAGATACCAGGTAAAGATTATCGATTCTCTTTACACCTGCACTTCTACTGGTACTTTAGAAAATCTGAGGACTCCAGGTACTCAGATCCCCACGACTTTATTCAAGCTTATGGCAAATTCCAATCAGAACCTTTAGACTACTGACAAGTGAATAAATCCATTCTACTAATCATAGGGACTCTGAGTCTGTGATGATGTTAACAACACTCCAGGCAGGGATCTTTTAAGAATGCCACACACTCATTTTTCTGCCCTTATTTAAATGTTCTGGCTTCTGTCTCAGCCATATATATGTTACATGTTGGAAGGGCCAACTTCAGAGCTGACATAGTGTGAAAAAACGTATGTCTTAGAATGGATGCAATGTGATATTAATATTTATGTATTTATCATTTCTTTCTTCCTAGACATGGACCACTGGCTGTAATAATATATTTTGTGATTATAAAACATGCAGAAAGGAAATTTACAATGAATGAAGTAAAGACAAAATAATATCTTAAAGTTATTTTTATAAAATTTTATTTATTAATGTTATAAGGTGTCCATAATAATTTCTTGACTGAGAATAATGTGATTTAATATGCTTTACTATTTTTAAAATCTGGGCTTAACCCCGATAGAATGATTCAAAGGGCAGGTTCTAAGTTCAGTTTGTTTCAATGCTTGATTTTAATGGCTGTCGTAGGTGAAAAAGCTACTACATGAACCTACATAGATCTACATTGGAACAAGCGTATTAATAACTGTGCTTGCGAAATCATGGCACTTGTTTTTCAATCTCAACCATCAAATAGGCAAAGGCTGTTGTTAACATCTGACTGCTAAATATTCATTAATCATGATGTCAATTAGTTATTCTTGAAAACAAATAGAAAAATATTTCATTTTTGTATTTTCAAGAAAAATATTCAGGATCACTGAAACTCTTATTTGGAATATTTTAAATTATGTTTGAAAACTCTATTTCTAAGTTCTTAAGTGTGTAGGTAGGGTATTTTTATTGATGATACTGGTTTTTATAGAACTAGTATTTCTGGGTTTTATAAAATGAACTATCTTAGTAACTTCTGATAGCATTTTGTAATTTCTGCCATCAGTTTCTTTCCCAACAAATCTGCATGTGAACGATACCATGAATACATTTCTTCTTGTAATGCTTCTCTGTTTCCTCTCCAGAATCCATTCATTTAAAACAATCACTCCAACAGTTTTCCCATAAAGCATTCTTTTTATTTAAAAAGTAATTTATTGGGGTAGCTGGCAGGCTCAATGTTACTCTTAATATTGGTGTTCTAAGTTCAAGCCCCATGATGGGTATAGAGATGACTTAAAAATAGTATCTCAAAAAATAAAATAAATAAAAAGTAATTTACTGCTACAGAAATTTCTCTGGCATATCTTTCATTTAATTGCTGTCAATGAGGAACGCCTGGGTGGCTCAGTTGGTCAGCGTCTGCCTTCGGCTCAGGTTATGATCCCAGGATCCTGGGATCAAGTTGGGCTCCTTGCTCAGCAGGGAGCCTGCTTCTCCCTCTGCCTGCTGTCCCCCTGTTTGTGTTCTCTCTCTGACAAATAAATAAAATCTTAAAAAAAAATTGTTGTCAATGAAACAGAGCAACTACTTTGTGTATCTGTTCTTTGAAACATAATGGAGCAAATACCTAAGCTGAGCTGTATCAGAAGCATCTGAACTTTCATTCAACTCTTTGGTAAATCTCCTACATTGTATGATTTATTGTAATATTTATTTCTTTAAATCATCACTATTTTCTATGTAACAGTATTTACTGACAATGTAATACAAAAATGCATTTCAGTTTGTCACCATAGTGTTTTCCGTGTTCTCTCATTTTCACCGTTTCAGGAAGGACAAATGTTCCCTTAAGCTAATGACTATTTGTCTTTTAATAAGTTAAAATCTTCAAAAAAACCACCACCAACAAAAAGGACTCTAAATATTTATCGTTACTTAGACAAATACTATAAAGTACTGGTTATATCACTTGACTTAAAACATTCTTGAAAACAATTATAGAGGTTTGTCTTCATGTTTTGGATGCTTAGTTTTGAAATCTTTGGCTAATCAAGATGATTTCCAACCATCTTTAGCTAGTATCTCAAGGCACGATACCTACTTAGGAGGGATTCATGTTTAACAATAATGTATGGGAAATCATATTTCAAGTGGTTTTCCCATATATTTCCTTTTTAAAAATCTTTTTTTTTTTTTGCCAAATCTGATCAGATCATCATCATTTTACGTTATAAATATGGCTGAGAAAGAGCTCATGTCAGGAACAGAAGTCAATGTGAGCTTTTTCACTTGGTTATCGTCTGCCCTTCCTTGCACTGTCAGTATTAGGTTGATTTGTTAATTTACAGGAATATGTTAAAGCCACTTGTGTGTTTTGTGAGGATTAATATTGTTAAAACTACTAGATTCTGAAATACAAAGGACAAACTTGATTCAATATTGTATCCTAAAAGCTAATGAAAGAATAGGTCCATCACCCCCCTATAATTGCCTCACTCACAGACCCAGGGAGAGTTACAGTAACAATCTTCATATGAAATTTCAGTAAAGTTTCATTTTGTCCTTTCTTCTCACATATCAAAGAATTGTCTTGTACATCCCCAGAGGCATTTGCATGCATGTGGAACCAGATACCTCCAAGAGGAGGTATCTACTTTATAGTTTATCTCTAGCCTCAACTGAAGCACTTGGCATGTAGTAGTAACTCAGTAAATACCAATGGAACGAATAAGGAACTTAATGTCTGGCCTGTAAATATTATTTGTCTTGCATACTGTAGTGATAATAAAGGTTGAGCACTGTCAGTCTAAAAGAGGGTAGAGAGATGGAGAATCATGGTATTCTCCTATTGTTATATCCACCTGGAATGTACAAAATGGTTTATACAATCACTTTCCTCCACCATTTTCTTTTATATATTTATGTGACTTGGCACCATTTATGGCTGTCCATTGTATAAGGGTTGTACGTCTACTCTTAGTGATAGTTTTATGGAGAAAATTACTTAGTAAGGAAAATCACAAGAATTGGTATCAACAAAGTAAGCATTTTTTTTTAACCTGAGGTTCTTTGAAAGATTATGGAAGAATTCCAGAACACCTGTACAAAAATTCTGTACAGGTACAGAACACCTGTACCAGAACAATTATTCATGAATAGAATGACTTGAAAGCCACAAACAAATAGTGCTACTCATACAACATATGTTAGCTATAGATTATGCCTCCTGAATTGCTCAAAATCTATGAAATACCCAAAAACTAGAATGAAGGAGAGATGGCAACAACTCAGACAAGGAAGAATTTAAGTAACGAAAAGCTGACATTTTCCAATTTCAATTAAATGGCTTTAGTAGATTCAAAGGCAGTTTAATAGGGCTTGGGCAGAATTAAAGCATTACTGTGAAAGGTCACAGATAGATAATTGATTTGAGTTTGTAATATAAGTTTGCTGGATAAAAGCCGCATTAGTTAGGATCTCCATGGAGAAAGACTAGTCCCTTCAACTGACTTTGGTAGGTTCAGTTAAAATATTTTACCATTGAAAATTTCCTTAAGTTCATGAAAAAAGTTCTTCTTTAAAGATTAATATAAAGGGAAAAGTTTTATTTAAAAAAAAATCCTAAAGAAGGTTCATTAATATGGCTATATAATATACATTAAAAGGAATCTTAACACAGAAACACATAGGTACAAAGAAACCAGGTAAGAAGAGAGGTCTTAATTAATAAAATAAATGAGGGGAGCCTGGGTGGCTCAGTTGGTTGAGTATCTGACTCTTGGTTTCAGCTCAGGTCATGATCCCAGGGTTGTGAGATCGAGCCCCAAGTCAGACTCCCTGCTCAGTATGGAATCTCCTTGAGGCTTTGCCTCCTCTGCTTCCCCTCCCCACTCTCTAAAATAAATAAATAAAATCTTTTTAAAAAAAAATTATTTGACAGAGAGAGTGAGAGAGCACAGCAGGGGGAGCAGCAGAGGGAGAGGGAGAAGCAGGCTCCCCACTGAGCAGGGAGCCCGATTAGGGACTTGATCCCAGGCCCTGGGATCATGACCTGAGCTGAAGGCAGAGGCTTAAGAGACTGAGCCACCCAGGTGTCCCAATAAATAAATCTTTAAAAAATAAAATAAAATAAATGAATAATGTAACTCATGGTTCTAAAACACACTTAGATGCACAGCCCCTAATAGGAAAAATGCACTGAATTCAGAACCATAGATATTGGGGGAAAATACTCTTGTTAAAAAACCACATGGTTACTAAATGGGGTGCTATTTTTTACCTAAACGCACACAAGTAGGTCTGTTAATAAGAGAAAAGAAAGTAATAATTGGTGGTTGCAGTGGAAAAAACCTCAAGGAAAAATATTAAACTGAACATCAGAACAATCTTCTTGAGAGTATGAATTTTAGATTACTTAGTAGATTTAAGCTTAGTCACAATCATTGACTAATCTGTGAATACTAACATGAATGCAACATATCACAGAATTTCTGTAGTTAAATAAAGATGATGACCATTTGAGTCCACTAATCCGTGAATACTAACATGAACACAACATACCACAGAAAATTCTGTAGTTAAATAAAGACTTTGGCCATTGGAGTAATTTTCATTTCTAGTTTTGTTGGTCATAAGGCTAAAAAAAAAATTACAGGTCCCAAATACATAGAAATGGTGGGGAAAGGACTAATGTAGTTTACAAATCTTACAATTTTTAGAATTTTACTTGATTTCGTATCCTGGAAAATTGCTTCTTTGCGGATATGTTTAAAAAAAGAAAAAGGTAGAAAGATACCTTTGCTTGATTCTTTCCTTTTAGTTTTTTTGGGAATATAATTCCATTCCTTTGGAATGCTCTCACGCAAGCATTCAGGAATGCTGTGCTTGTTGAGGTTGGTCTCACAGCTTCTCCCAGAGCTCATCACAAATATTATCTGCTGTACGATGTCCTTGACAGCGTCGGTCAGTGCCAATCTCAAGCATCGGATGACCTCTAGCTCGGACTCTGTGCATGTTGAGACTTTAAAATCAGACAGCATATTAGAGTTAGCAGAATCTGGCAATATTTTGTGTGTTATTCAACTGGGAATTCAGTTTGTCAGTAATCTAATTTAAAGCTATAGAAAAGGAGAGCTGCTTTTAACTTTGAAATCATATAATTAATAAACAGTCCAAAAACATGTGGGAAATAAAGTTTCTTCTTAGTAATAAAGAAAATGGCAATTAAAATAACAGTGAATAACAACATTTGCTTGTGGTTTGGAACTCTAAAGGTAGAAATATAAATGGTATGACCTTCTTAGATAACAACTTGGCAAAAATATCAACACTTTAACATTTTACTTACCTGCTAACCCACTTATTCTGTCTCTAGGGCTTCATCCTAAGAAATTAATTACAATCATGTAAAGGATATAAAGGAAAATTGAAAATAATCGAAATGTCCAATAATTGGTTATTTGTTTAAATAGCTACACATCTATACAATAAAGCCATATATTATTCAGTAGAAAAATAAAGGCAGGGCGCCTGGGTGGCTCAGTTGGTTAAGTGTCTGCCTTCGGCTCAGGTCATGATCCTGGAGTCCCGGGATTGAGTCCCACATCGGGCTCCCTGCTCAGCGGGGAGTCTGCTTCTCCCTCTCACCCTCCCCCCTCTCATGTGCTCTCTCTCTCAAATAAATAAATAAAATCTTTAAAAAAAAAAAGAAAAATAAAGACAGGTTAGGAAAAGCATGACATGCTATTTATTTTAAATACACACAGGTACACACACACACACATAAAAGAATTAAAAGATGCACTCTACAACATTAACGGTGATTACTAATGACTGATGTGATTTCAGATATTTTCCTCTTCCTTTCATTTTTCCCCTTTTTACTTTTGTTTCTTTTGTATCCTCCCTCCCTTCTTTCCTTCTTTCTGCCATCCTGCCTGCTTTCTGATTATATATATTACCTACCATGGCTATGTATTACTTGTGCAATAAATGCAATAAAATTTTACTTGTTTTTTAATATGACAGAGAAGTCTTGGGGTAACCACTTGAATCAATACAGAAAAGTACATATATGTTTTTCCCCTCAAATTTTGAGGTAATGTTCCTTTTTTTTTTTTTTAACTTTTATTTACTTGAGTAATCTCTACACCCAACATGGGGCTCAAATTCACAACCCTGAGGTCAGGAGTTGCATGCTCTTCTGACTGAGCCAGTCAGGCACCCTGAGGTGTTATTTCTCAAATGACTCAATTCATTGTTAAAACCACCATGCTGCTGGAATGCCTGGGTGGCTCAGTCTGTTGAATGACTCTTGATTTCAGCTCAGGTCGTGACCCCAGAATCCTAGGATCAAGCCCCACATGGAGCCCCCTGTGGAGCCCTGCACTGGACTCCCTGCTCAGTGCGGAGTCTGCTTCAGGATTCTCTCTCTCCCTCTGCTCCTCCTCTCACACTCTCTCCCTCACTCTAAAATAAATAAATAGATCTTAGAAAAAAAAAAAAAGAAGAACCGCCATGCTTAAGAGGATCTTGATACTATCCAATATTGAGAGTTTAACTTTTTAACATAGTGCAATCATTGGGTGAGCTGTTGCTCTTTATGGGAATGGTGGAGGATAGAGCAGTCTATCTTTTCAAATGATGCTTCAAGACTTTAATTCATTGACAGGCATAAAGAAGCCTTCTTCCTGTATCTGTAATTAATATTTATTTTACTTGAACTCTGTGGAGTTATGGATTAAATACATCTCAGGTATCTAAAAATTCTAGAAAGCCAGAAATTCCCCTATTTCCTTTTATTAAAAGGGAATGTTTATTCCTTTTAAAATAAAATCAAGTTATTACAAATGATAAAGTAACGGTTGTATCTCAAAGAATTATTTAAAACCTATATGAATTAATTTGTAGGCACTATATACACTATGTAAGTATATGCTATTATTATTATTACCTAACATGAATTTCTGTAAAGTTTATAATATTATAGTATAGGGTGCCCAGTGTTCTCTTGATGCAGGGTTCTGAAACGAGCATGGGGTACCTATGGTAGGGGATAAGGTACGGATATAGCAAGAAGAAAAGGAAAAATAAGAAGTAGAGAGAATAAAGAAAATAAAGCAAGTGGCAAGCCCTTCTGGTTTCTGGCTCTGCATATAAAGAGCTTGGAAGTCACCACTCTGTCCTAACAACAAGGAAAAAGCTAAACAGATGGAAAAGTCAACAACTTTTCTTGGATCTGTAGAGAGGTGGGTACACCAGGCAAACCACTGTCCCCAAGACTGGAGTGACAGACAACAAATATAGGGAGTCACAGCTTACTGGCATGGAAACTCATAAGTACAACTACCATGGGAACAAGTGCCAAGGGAGGAAGTCTCAATTGTAATTGATGAATTGCTGGAGGCTCAGTGTGGACAAGTCTGCGAGTTAACACGCCAGGTGACCCTGTCATATGGAGGTTGCCACACTTGTGAGTTTTACCTCTATGAGTTCAACTAGGTGCCCATAGTAAATGTCAAGGAAAAATCTCCAAGAGCTTCTAGCAAGAGGAGAAGAAAAGGATTATTTTGAAATAAGTCAGAGCACTCTGTTCTTAAGGGCTGCCCTCAGGAGAAACTACTAAAATAGAGCCAAACCCACTGGGATATTATCAGATCCTAACTGACCTAGAAGAAGGGAAATATGTAACTTCAGCCCACTCTAGCCATATTCTCCTACATAAAATGGGAGAAAAACCCCTGAGAAACACTTGTGAAGTACACCATCCAGAGGTATAAGCCCACTAAAGACTGAGACCTAATCATAGGACTATAGAATGCTTCTCCTCCCCCAAATCTCTCCCCCACATCACTGAAAGCCTCTTTATAGCAGTTTCTTTTACCCAATACATCACGTCCAGTTTTCAAGAAAAAAATTACAAGATATACTAAAAGGCAAAGAACACAATTTGAAAAGACAGAGCAAGCATAAGAAACAGATACGGCCATTAGAATTATCAGACAAGTAATTAAAATAACTATGATTAATAAGCTAAGGATTCTAATGGATAAATTAGACAGCATGCAAGAACAAATGGGTAGTGTAAGTAGAGAGATGGAAATCTTGAGAAAGAACCAAAAGGAAACACTAGACATCAAAAATAGTGTAACAAAAATGAAGAATGCCTTTCTTTGGCTTATTAGTAGACTGGACATAGGTGAGAAAAGAAACTCTGGGCTTGAAGATATCTCAATAGAAATCTCCAAACTCAAAAGCAAAGAGGTCAAAGTCTGGGGGGGGGAGAAAAAAAAGAACAGAATACCCAAGGACTGTGGGACAACTACAAAAGGTGTAACGTATGTGCATACATGTAATGGGAATACCAGGAGAAGAAAGAGAAAGGAACAGAAGAAATATTTAACACAATAATGACTGTGAAGTTCCCCTCGATTTACTATCAAACACAAACCACAGATCTAGAAAGCTCAGAGAACACCAAGCAGGGTACATGCTTAAAACTACTCATACACATATCATTTTCAAACTACAAAAAAGCAAAGAGAAAAAAGTCCTGAAAAAAGCCAGAGGAAAAAAAATTATCTTATTTATAGAAGAATGTAGGTAGGAATTAACATCCAACTTTTCAGAAACCATGCAAAGAAGAGTGGAGTGAAATATTTAAAGTGTTGCAAAAACAGCAACAACAACAAGAACAAAAAACAAAACCTGAACAACCTAGAGTTACGTCCCCTGCAAAATTATCCTTCACAAGTGAAGGAGAAATAAAGACTTTCTCAGACAAACAAAAATTGAAGACATTTGTTCCAGTAGACCTGTCTTACAAGAAACATTAAAAGAAGTTCTATAAAGAAAAGGGAAAGAATATACAGGGAAAACTTGGATCCACACAAAGTAAGGAAAGACATTGAAGAAGGAGTAAGTGAAGGTCAAATAAAAATTTTAATTTTTCTTTTTCATAATTGATCTAACAGATAAGTCTGAAATAATTCCTACAAGTATTCACTTATGTATATATCTTATACCTAAGTGTACAAAAGTTGAGTCCCTCATGACTGCTGTAGGGTCCCAGGTTCTAGAAAATATTCAAGACTTAGAGACTATTTCATATTTACAGAGAAACAATTTACACAAAGACCAAGGACGTTTCACAAACTTGAAGTTCTGATCCTTTGAAACACCCCATACAATTCGGGCTGTATTAGTAAGTGTAATACCTTTTTCAAGAGACTTGACTGACCTTGTGGAGAAGGGTTTGCTCAAAGTGTAGATGAAGAGAAGACTAATTAGGAGTGAGTAGCATTTTTGCTATCTGGTAGCAGCACATAAAGGCCATTGGTATCTTCCAGGTCATTTTCAGTACAGTTTTGAGCTAAGAGTCAAAATGGTTCAAAAACTTAAGAGTTGAAGAATAAATAGTGGTTGAAGCATGTGGGTCACCAATTCTTTATAATCCTGTGAGAGACTCACAATTCACCTGAATAACTAAAAGCCAAAGGGGTGGAGGAACTTTCAAGGTTATTTTTCAAGGTTCAGTTCCATAAAGTCTACATCAGAAGTAATTCAGTCTTTTTAACTGGAAAACTGTCGCTCCTTTGGGTGAAGAGGTAGCCATAAGAAATACATGGAAACTAGGAGATAAAACTTTAAAAGGAGATAATTATTACACAGCCATGAAGTGATACATTCAGGTTTTTAAAATCATTACAAAAGTTATCTACTGCTATTTTTCAGGGAAAATGACCAAGAGAAGTTGTAACATAATGACTTTAAACTAGCTCAAAAGATATTCAAGTAATGTCTAGAGGATAGTCAAAAAGTCCAGGAAGAACAAAACCATGAATATGAGCAAGTGAGATTTTTTTATATGGGTCCCAGAAATATTTTATGCAAAGGTAGTTTCTAAAACAGTGTATAAAACAGTTTATAGGTCGACAGCCAAATGTAAATGATGTAAATAGTTAACGGACTAACTACTAAGTTCTCATTCTTTGTTTTCCCAAGATATTATGTAGAATTAAAGCCAGGAGATTAAGTATAAAATAATGCAAGAACTTTTTCACCTGGCTCTGAAGGTGGGGCAACACACGAACACTTTCTATTCAGATATGCAACTTGTTCTGGCTTTAACATCCATTCTAGCTGTAGGCAGAAGAATAGTACAAATGTAGAAATATATGGTCCCCAAAGGAACAATAGAACATGCTTGCCTTGTAGAGACAGAGACGCTATGGTCATAATAATAAATGCCTTTTACATTTAAAGAAAATTGACCAGTAGTTTTGTCCATCAGTTTATTGAATAAATACATCTAAGAATTACAAAATATTTTTTCACGTGTTACTAAGGTCTTATATGCTCAATAGCAAAACATAATCTATGCTAAATATTAAAATAATTTTTATGAAAGGACACTTCCTAATAATAATTTAAAAAGAAAATCTGCATTACATAATTCCCCCACCCCCCCAACCTTCCTTTCACCTTGTCGCAAGTATACTATATTTTGTTTTCTCTTTTATTTTTTTAAAGATTTTATTTATTTATCTGACAGAGAGAGAGAGAGAACAAGCACACAAACAAGGAGGGAGCAGCAGAGGGAGAGAGAGAAGCAGGCTCTCCACTGAGCAGGGAGCCCAACGTGGGACTCGATCCCAGGACCCTGGGATCATGACTTGAGCCAAAGGCAGACGCTTAACCGACTGAGCCACCCAGGCACCTCTGCAAGCATACTATATTTGATAGGACCGAATGGTTAATGATTCCCAAAGAAACATTTATACTGAAAAAAAAAGTAAGATAAACTTTTACAAATAACAGACTCAGCATAAGTGACAACAATAATATTTTAAAAACACCTTTAAATATATATTTAATTATCTATAAAACACTTCTTTTACAAAGAGTAAATTTCTCATACCTGGGATGTTATATAGAGAGTCCCATAATTGTTCTTCTTCCATGTAGCTCACAAAAACATTTCCAAATGTTTGTGGAGAAAAACTGCAATGGTATAATACTTTAAAGATGGTTTCTATCAAGCTGGATCCTTGGTTCAGATTATTGTCTGTATCAGAAGCTTGTTCTTGAAAGGTACATTCTTGGAAAGAATAAAAGTGATTTAGTAAGATAGCTTTCAGTGAATGTGATTAAATTCTTATCACTTGGGGCGCCTGGGTGGCTCAGTCGGTTAAGTGTCCAACTTGATTCTGGCTCAGGTCATGATCTCAGGGTTGTGAGATCGGGCCCCTCATCAGACTCTGCACTGTGTATGGAGCCTGTTTAAGATTCTCTCTCTCTCTCTCTCCCTCTGTCTCTGTCTCTCTCTCAAAAATAAATAAATAAATAAATGAACAAATAAAGAAATTCTTATTACTTACCCACACATAATGCACTAAAACTGTATTTGATTAATATTTACATAATAAGAGAAATGCCACATTCTTTCAGAGTAATGTCCCACCAAACCCAATATTGTTACTGAGATTCTTATGCTATCTGTGGGGGGAAAACTGTGAGAAGGGCCACAATGACATCACTTCAAAAGGCAAAGCTAGTTTACCTTTATGTCAGACTTCTCTTTCTCTTAAAGAAACTTTTTTTGATTCCTTTTGTCATTTAAAATTAATATACATTCATTCTAAAAATATAAAAAAAACCACAGACAAGTAAGAAAATTGAAATTGTGCCAAATCCCACCAGCCAGTGAGAGCCTGTATTTGGTGCAGTGTTTCGTTTGTATTATATACAGATATGCATAAATGAATATATATATGTGTAACTTGAACACCAAATAGAATTATTCTATACATATTCTTTTGTTATCTAAAACCTACTTAAAGCCAGTTGAATCTTTGTATCTCTCTTCTGGATTTGTGTTCTGAACATTATTGTACCCTTTATTCAGAACATAAGTTTCATGGAAATTCAGTTATAATCTTCTCAGAATTATGCTATACATTTACAAATACATAAATCAAATAAATTTACAAATGTTTACAAATAAATCTACAATAAATTTACAAATGTTTCTTAAACCCATAGATCCTGTCATTTAAGACTGAAGAGCTTTATCAATTGTTTCCTCAGGAAAATTATTTAAGGAATTCCCACAATAACAGAGCCACTTTATTTTATTTTTTTTTAAAGACTTTATTTATTTTTCAACAGAGAAAGAGACAGCGAGAGAGGGAACACAAGCAGGGGGAGTGGGAGAGGAAGAAGCAGGCTTCCCACTGAGCAGGGAGCCCGTGATCCCAGGACGCTGGGATCATGACCTGAGCTGAAGGCAGATGCTTAACGACTGAGCCACCCAGGTGCCCTAAAAACAGAGCCACTTTAATTGCCCTTTTCAGTCCTCATCTGGCTCCATTATGACTTCCTCAAAGATAAGTAATCATAAGCTCCTACACTATTGTATTGATAGGTTGGACCGGAAAGGTGAAATAATAATTTTGTTTGGACTAATTAGCATTATATGCTCAGTATCATAATATGTAAAAATATTTATTGGATTAAAGATAACACATAACATTGTATGTTAACTACACTGGAATTAAAATAAAATAAAGTAGAATAAATAAATAAACATGTCTTATATCTTATATTTTAAATATCTTGAATAAATAGAATCTAGATCATTTCGGAATGAGTACATTTCTTCTCCATGCTCATTTGGAAGCTTATCACTTTTATGTTTCCTGTGGATAATTTTATCTCTGTGATTTGACTTTCAGGATCTAGAAACCCCACCTTGGGGTTTTTGCTAGGACTATTGGTAAAGTGGCATTCCCTCTCTAAGGAGTTGCTAAGCTGGTATAAAGTAGGCTGGAAGTTACTGATGGGTACTTTGGGGAGGACCTGGCTGAGAATGAATCCAATACAGTAAGAAGCAGAACCAAGAGATAGGATATTCCTGATGACATAACCCTGAAAACTTGGATCCAGCAATGCCTATATATTTATGTTAGCTGAGCTGATAGAGTCTCCTTTATGCTTAAACCAGTCTAATTTGGGTTTTTATCGCTTGCAGTCTAAAGCCTAAAAGGTTAAATGACAAAGAGTCCTAATCTAGGCATTCATATTTCCACCTTTTCTTTTCAAATAATCTCGGCAGTTCTCTGCCCTTCCCTCCCTCCAATCCCTCTGACATACAACTATCAGTTATCCTTCGCGTCATTCCCCCATGTGTAAACCTTCCCCTGAAATTCCTTAGCCTGACAATCAAGAGTTTGCACCATCTTTTCCCAAATGATATTCCAATCCCCAAATATCTGTTCCACACAGATTGGTATATTTGCTCTACATCATAAATGTTCCCTCCCATCTCCTTTTGTTGGTTTATGCTATTGCACTAGTCTAGAATGTTCTCCTCCAACAAAATCCCCATGGTTTAATTAATCAGTTAATGTGTCAGCGGTCATATTACACTAGATGCTGAGGCCTATGCCTTCCAGGGAGTTACTGTGTATATGTATATATGTTCGTGAGGGGAGGGAATGAGAGGTCTGTAACCGATCACTACAGCAATGTAAGGATAAGTAGCGTGACCGTACATCCTGGTTTTCTTGGGGTACTCCTGATTTGTCTGTTGTTCTGTCATAATTACTTACTAGCATCCTCTTTTAAAAGGGTCCGAGTTTAGATGACATATTATTCAATCATCTTAAGTCTAAGTGGTTTGAGAATAAGGCACAATGAGGGGCACCTCGGTGGCTCAGATGGTTGGGCATCTGCCTTCAGCTCGGGTCATGATCCCAGGGTCCTGGGATCGAGCCCCTCACTGGGCTCCTGGCTCAGTGGCGGGCCTGCTTCTCCCCCTTCCTCTGCTTCTACCCCTGCTCATATTCTCTCTCTCTCTCTGTATCTCTGTGTCTCGAATGAATAAATAAAAAAATCTTTAAAAAAAAAAGAGAAAAGGGCACTGTGAAAATATAGCACAATACAAATAAATACAAATAAAGATGATGTTTGAAATTTTTTCAGAGAAAGTCTTTAAGGAGGAGGAGAAGTTTATCAGCCTGACAAGCCTGAGGTACTGGTACTTTCCGGCAACACAGAAGGTTTAGGGGGATGAAGAGAAGGCAGGAAGCTGTTGGCAGGGTGACACAGCGGAAGTGTGCCAGGTGTGAGGGAGGTGGGAGACGAAGCTAGTCAATCACCACAGCATGCGTAATCTAGGGCTCCATGAACCATGCAGTGAGAATGCAGTTGGAGAAAGGGGGTGGGATATGAGGAATAATTACAATAAAAAATAATTATTATTGTTATTACCATAGAAACATGTCAAGATGCTTCAATGAAATATGATTTTTTAAAAAATTTTTCTCTGTTTTCCTTTGCCCTGAAATAAAGTAGTCTGTTTCGGTTTCCTTGCCACAGAGGGTTTTGCTATTGGAAAAGCACAAATAGACATTGAAGTCAGCTGCCTTCCTAGAGTTAAAAAAAAAAAAAAGGAACGAAAGAAAACTAAACCTTTTGAGTTGTTATTTGAACGACACGAAATAGCTATTTTTTTGTAAGCCAAAACAGGTAAAATATTGGCACCACCATAAGATACCAAAGTAGAATGGTGTGTGTCCTCTGAAAAAGGAGATGCTCTGGGACTGAAAAGCAAAGCCTCTGGGTCTGCAAGTAGCAGTGCCCAGGGAGGCCGGTTGGGGGGGGTTGGCACTGAGGGAAGCTGGCTCCCTGACTCGGGCTCTAGGCCTCATCAGAGGTTTCAAGCCCCACCCGATGGCGCACCTGAATGCACCATCTGGACAGGGATACAAGGTATCTCTGCAGGAACTAGGTGCCTGGGTAACTGATGACCAATAAAGCCTCACAGGGACCTTAGCACCACCCTGGGACTGGGGTAGGAGCCCTAAGAATAGCATTAAATGTTCTGCCAGCCTGGTAGGATGGGGCTCAGAATTTTCATAACACTAATCTGCAGATGATGAGTGATTCTGATAGGGCTTTTACATCTGAGTTTATGAAATGAGCTTTATACCAGCTCTATAAAGGTAAAGTTACTATTCACAAAGTACTTACTGTATGCCAAACATCACAAGAACTCCTTTATATCTCATTTTGTCTTCATAATACTCCATGGAATGAGTGCTGATGATCCCAGTTTTCGGGATGAACACAGTAAAGTTGAGACAAATGAAGTAACTTGCTCTAAGATCACAAAGGGAGTAAGAATTTGCCTGTGCTATTTACATTAAACTAGAATCTCAAACGTCTCAAAGCCTGCTCTGCCATTTTTTTGACAGTAACCTCTGAATGCAGAGTACTCAGTCCAAACTAGATGTTTGGCATGTGGCAATTTGCTGCCTTCATGCAAAATCCTTTAATTTCTGATAACATTCTACAATTTCACATACGCTATCTCAGTACCTGTCATTATTTTTAGACTTTCTCTAGATGTGCATCTTATCTGGAGGCATTTTCCCACAGCACCTGGAGCAGTGCTATGCGTTTAACTAAGGTTTTAACACTAACGAAGGAAGAAAAAAAGGCAGAGGGGAGAAAGAGATCTCTTGAGTATTTTTGGTTGGGTCTTGGTCCATCTAGAAATTGGATTTTCTGGAATGAAATTTATCTCCTAGTCACAGTATTCAGAGACTTCTCCCCCCAAGTTTCATCCTCCTCATAAGCCACTGTATCTGCTCCCGTTGCCTTCTCCTTTGAAACCCTCTTCTCTCTTGACTTGCTCATGGCCATGCTCTTTGGTTTCATGGTACCTCATCTTTTCTATAGCTCTTTCTCTTTTATCATCTTGAACCAGGTTGGCAAACTTTGTCTGGAGAGGGCCAGATGGTAAAAGTTTGAGGTTTTGCAAGCCATTTGGTCTCTGTCTCAGCTGTTCAACTCTGCTGTCGTAACACAAAACTGGTCAGAGACAATACGTGAATGCAGGGCCAAGGGTGTAAATAAAACTGTTTACAGAAACGGTAGTGAGAGGGAGAAGTGGCATCGGCCCGTGGAGGCTTCCCCAGAACCTTGGCCTTAGCCTTCTTTGAACCTCACTGCTTCACATCTAGCTTAGCGATTCTCTTATCTTTTGATTTCAAAGACCCCTTTTGTGAAGAAGTTTCCAAATTCATCACCTCT